CATACCCTTGAACCTAGCGGTTTTTTTAATTCTGAGAATTGGTCCCACTACCATATATATGCAAAGGCTTTTCTATAAGAATATTCATTGCAACATTGTTTGCAGTAGTAAAAAACTGTAATATTCACAAAGTAGAGTGTACTTATACAATGAAATACTAAACAGCTGTTCAAAAGAATGAGAAAGAAGGAAATGGCTGATGGAAGGAGGTCCAAAACATATCCTTGCAGACAAAGTGTGCTTACGAGAAGACCAGAAAGACCTCATGGGTAGAGAACTTGCAAAGTACATTTTAATTATGGTGCACAATTAGTTAGTGCAGAGGAAAACCTCCGCCATGAAAGCATAATTGCTGTCCTGTTATGATGTTTTGGGAGCATTAGTGCATGTCCTGCTTTAATGATGTGTGCCAGTGTCATCAGACAAATGTCCTTTGCTTTGTGCCTCTGGATATCAGAAAGTGAAAGAATGTATTCAGGCCTCTGCAGGATCCTTTTTAATCTCGTCTTATCACTAAATATTACTCCCCTACTTAGTTTCTCTCTTCCAGCCACCACCCTACCAAGGAGATGGCGTCTGCTGTGCACCTCTAGAATAATGAGAACTTGTACTGAGTTTTATTACATTGTTAGGTCCCAGATATACGAATGTCCTTCCAGGCCCTGATTGTAGCAAAAGACTGATATCCATCAGTAAGGATTTCTGTAATTAAATTAAGAATCTTTCATACAGAACAATAGTAGACAGCTGTTAAAAAAAAAAAGAGAGAGCCATCTGACACAATTGTAATTACTTATCCATGTGGAAGGTTGGAAGCAAAGCCCTATGTTCTCCATCCCCAAGAGGACTCCTTCAATCTAAGGTTCAAAGACTTGGGATTTGTTTGAGGGCAAAATTTAAACCACACTGAACAATTCCATACCTCAGTTTAATTTATATCTACCAATAAATTTTAACAGTTGAGGATGTGAGTTTTTTCAATCAGGTAATCTATTTTTAAATAGCTTAATAACTGTAGTGAACATATGTAGTTCAAGTACATAATATTTAAATTTATTTTGGAGACAAAACTGAAGAAAATA